GTAATCACTGGTTTTCGGCATTTTATTAGTAGATCGTTTTATCACATGACCGCATAATTTTGCAAAGAGCGATAAAAATATTGGGTTCACAATATTACTATAATATCAGATACCCAAAGAAATTTAAAAAATATCATACTTCTGATATTACTATTTATTATCATATATCTGATATTAATAAAATATCAGATACCTGAGATTAAAACAAAATTTATCACATAGCTATTGGGCGCATTATAAAATTTACAAAAGTGTTATCAGGCCCTTAAAAAAAATGCAAATATTGGACCTCCGATATATATAAAAATATTTTTATATACCTGATAATTTTTTGATAATCATCTGATATTTGAAAATATCAAGAGGCTAATAGGTACCTGATAAATATTCAATATTCAAATTTTGACCTGTGTAATAATTATTTTTTAAAGTTTAATCAGAGATTATTTGTTATATTCTTATGATATAACTTTAAAAACTTTACAGTAGATACATAATAATTTTCTCTTTAAGATTGCTTAGTATCATTTTTAAGATTTTATTGTTACAAAAAATATTTTATATGTAGAAATTATTGATAATTTTTCTAAAATAACAAAATAATCAACAATAATTTTGATTATTTTTTAGTCATGTCTAAGTAAAGTTCTGATCTTAACTAGAAAATAGCAAATATAATACTAATAAATATTATAGACTTAGTTTAAGGCTACAAGTTCTTATAAGATATATTATACTTCTGATAGATAGTTATAGAAAACAAGAGACATTATAATTAATAATTTGATTTGCAATTTTTGAATAACTTTATTTAAGACAAGATTTTTGTTTGAGCAAGTATTCAATTTTAACAGAAAAGATATCATATGATAGTCATTGATCAGGAGATCTTTTTAAAAAAAATTTTATATAATTTAAATTATTTCTTGTGTCACAATTTGCCCTTGAATTTTATTGATAAATTTGATAAAAAAACAGTTGCCCGGATACTTTTGACAAGTTGGTGTATCTGTATATATTTAGTTTTTATTAATTACAAATATATCTGTATATATTTGCAAGTGAAATTTTTCTGATGCAGTATCTGATATAAAATATTAGTATATATTAGTACCTGATATTTAACAAAACTACTACATTTATCTGTTACTTATCTGATACTCAATAGATATAATATTATAATTTCTGATCAATATATATAACAGATAAATCACTAGATTAATTATTTTTTATCAAAATTAATATAATTATACAGTGGTTCATAAAAGTATTGCAACATCTATTTTTTTGTCTTTAAAAAATTATACAATCTGAACGATTGATTTTAGAATAATAGTTACTAAGCTTATTTTAATCCTTGAGTTTTGAAGATTTTTTTTGAGATGTTTTTGATATCAAATTAATAATTCTGATTTTGCGTAAACAGGTGATCTATATGGTGAATTGTCATTTAATAAAATTTCAATTGTGAATAAAATTTTATGCAAAATGTTTACAGCCAAGATGATTATAGGGTTGATAGTCCTTTCCGAGAAGATCTGGCATATCAAATTTTGTAACAATTGAATCAGTAGTTATCAAGAAATTAACCCTTGAAAATTGAAAATTTATTAATAAAAAAGATTTTTTAATTATTTTATTAGTAAAATTTCAATTTTCAAGGGTTAATTTCTCAGTAACCACTAATTCAATTGTTACAAAATTTGATATGTCAGATCTCCTCAGGAAGGACTATCAACTAGAGATGCAGGTGAAACTAATTAATTACACCTGGTGATACTGGTGAAACTGGTGATATTGGTGAAACTTGGTGAAACTTTATGATGAAACTGGTGAAACTATTTCATCAATAATTCTAGAAAATGTTTATAAATTACAAAACGGAAATAATTTATCATCGTCACAACGTAATAACTTTTTATTTTATTAAGTAAATGTCAAACGTTATAATAATCGAACTGATTGATAAGAAAGATTTGCATCTCCTGTAAAAATTTCAGACCTATATCATTAAAATTGAGCGAATAATGAGCGATCAAATTTTAACAGATGAATTATTCCCGTTCGAACTTTAATCGCTCATTATTCGCTCAATTTTAATGATATAAGTCTGACATTTTTACAGGAGATGCAAATCATTCTTATCTTTCAGTTCATTTATTATAAAATTTGAAATTTACTTAATAAAATAAAAAGTATTACGTTGTAACGATGAAGAATTATTTCCGTTTTGTAATTTATAAATATTGTACAGGGTCCTATTTTAATTATTATTTATTAATAATGTGAATTATAATAAAATTTTTATTTAATGTAAATTATTATAATAACTTTTTTTTATTTTAACTATTCTTCTCATTTAATATTCTTTGTGCTAATCTAATTAAATTATATTCCATATTACTTCTTTCATCTCTTTTATTATATTTGATCTATTAGTAATAAATTCAAATAAACTATTTCCTGTAGATAAAAATTCAGGTAATGTTAAGTTAACAAATTGATCTATATCTAATATAGTAGATGATATATATTCATTTTCTATATTTTCTAATTCATTTAAATTTTCATTATTATTTAAATTTTCTTGTTCCAAATTTTTATCTCCTTCTAAAATTTCATTTGTTTCAAATATATCATATGTAATTACAGACTCATTAATACTTTTACGTAATTCATTTTCACTTAAATTCTTATTACGATACCAGATTTCTTTATCAGTATTGGAAATGTAATAGGAGCAAATCTTTGCCATAGATTCAATTTTTGATAAAGTTAAATTTGTACGTCATTCTCCCAAAAATTACTTGAGCATAGAGAAATTTCTTTTACAAATAGCTTGTGATGGAACAATAGAAAATAATAATAATGTCAACTCCTGTAATTGATCAGTTTCATTTTCTTGAACATTAATACTTAATCACCATTTCATTGGTATTTTTTGAGAACTATTAAAACTAAGATTATAAGGTACACTTTTTCTTTTTCAAGATCTCATTTTCAATAAAAGTTTAAGATATGATTCTTCACTATTATTTAAATCATGCCATAAAATTAATGCAGTTTCATATATTTTATTTAATGCTATTTGTTTTAATCCAAAACCTATAATTTAATATAATAAATTTTTGTATTAATTAAAAATTTTTTTAAAAAAATAAAATTTACCTCTATATAATGGATGTAATCAATATGTCAAAATATTTATATTATTAATAAACTCTCCCAAATGGCGATTATAATTTGAAATAATTATAAATTTCCATTAATTTCCAGATTGAATTTGATTAAATTTTGCACCAAGTTTTATTAATCCAATAAAACAATCAGCCAAATTTGCATTTCGTGTTTCAAGAATATTTGTTAATTCTTTTACTGATTTGAGAATAGATACTATTTGATGACAATTAAAACAAAACTCTTCATTTTGAAGTAAAACAAATACAGTTTTATTTGTAATTACTTGAGAATGATTTTCTAAAATCTGAATAAAAAAATAAAGAATTTAAATATGTATATAATATATTTATAAATATATAAATAAAAAATTTGAAAATAATTTTATCCAATTAAATACTGGTTTGAATTGTATAATAGAATCAGCTGTAGTGTATAATATACCTCATCTTGTTTTACAATAAGATTGAATTTCACCTTTAATTTTCATTATATTTAATTGTTTTTTATAATAATCATGAGTAGCATGTAAATTTTTAAAAAATCTAATAATACTATTACAATTGAAAATAATTTTTTTTACTGAATTTATTTTAGCAAAATCTGAAGCAACCAAATTAATTACATGTGCCATGCATCTTAAATCAAGAATAAAAAGATATTTTTCATGTATAATTCGTCGAACAACTCTTAAATTTGCTCTATGATCAGTTACAACTGCTATAAATTTTTCTATTTCAATATTTTGCATTATTTTTTGAATTTCTTTTACCATAAATATACCAGTTTGTTTTTCTATATTATAATTTTTAAGCTTGATGAGATATTCTTTTCTTGTTGATGTAGTAACAATATAATTATAAATTGAATCATGTCTTGAAAAAGTCCATCCATCAAGATCTAATAATAATAATAATTAATTTAAAATAAAATATAATTTAAGATATAAATTATTAAATTATTAAATATTATATTAATACTTGTTATATATAAATTAAAATAAAAACATCGCAAGAATAATAAAATTAATTTATTTATCAAATATTAATAATACTTACTAATAGTGAGATGATTACTATATTCCAAATTATTTTCAATTTTTTTTTCAATTTATATAGTTTCTTGATCTAATAATTTTTCAGAAAGAATAGTATGTGAAGGTAAAGTATATCTTGGAATAGTAATTCAAAATAAATCAATGATAAATGAATTTTCAATTGTTTGGAATGAAAATCTATAACAAACCCATGCTTTAATAAGTACTTGATCAATTTTATTTGATTTTGTAATAGGTATGGAAGTAGTATTATCAAAATGCTTTGTAATTGTGGTTGTTTTGTATTTTTTAAATGAATATTTGAAACTTCTTCTAATAAAACTTCTCACCAAAATATTTTAATTTCATCAGATACCTTTTCACAATTTCTAGCTAAATGAATTTTCATATCTTTTGAACATCCTCTTGACCATTTTTCATTACACCAATTGTATTCTGCTTCATAATTTCCCTTCCCTAAATCTGCACCTTTTTTAAAATAATTCCATATTTCTCCTATTTTTTTACCTCCAACATGATTTCTTTTTTTTTGATTTGTTCTATTTGATATTATTTCTAATAAAGAATTATTTGGTAAAGAATTATTTAAAGAATTATCTGATAAAGAATTATTTAAAGAATTATTTGATAAAGAATTATTTAAAGAATTATTTAATATATCTTGTGTATAATAATTTTCATTTTCTTTATTTTCTTCTGTAAAATATAAAATATCAGACATTTCTCTTGTACAAAATAAATCATTACTTGAACTACCAATACCATTTTCATCTTGTCTATTTGAATTGCTAGATATTATGATAATTGTATTAAAAATTTTTTATATTTATTTTCACGTAATTTTAAGTAAAAAAAAAAAATTTTTGTGACTAATCAGTGTAGTACAAATTTATTAGAAAAAATGTGTACAATAATTTCAATCATTTGAGATAGGCAATAAATTTTGATTAATAAAAGTTAATTTTTATTATTATAAATTTACTCTTATTTAGAAAGAAGTTTATTTTATTTTCTTCTCCTCTATTTTATCTTTTCTTCACCCCTCTAATATTATTCCATAATTAATAAACTTTAATTTATTTTTATTTTGTTATTAAATACTCGAAACAATTATTTTGTTCTTCTATACTTCTAAATACACTCCATTTTCGTGATTTCACATTTTCCTACTTCACCTCTTCTTTAGTTAAACCCACAGCAAAAATAATATAAATTATTAGAATTAGATTAAATAAATTAATTGTTGGTAAAATAATAATAAAGAACCTGAAAGTAATGATGAAGAAAACTCATCTCTATAATCTGTGGAAACCCAAGAAAGAGTATTAATATTTATACCTCAAGAAAAGAAGCTTCTGATGAACTATTCACTTAATATAGAGATATCACACTTCAAGAAATTTGATATTGGAAAAGAGAACAATCTAAAATCCTACATAACAAAAAGAGGTTACCAAGAATAATATAATCATCAAAGAAATCACGAATACCACACTCCACAACAACAGCACCAAGCGTCTTGTATAAGAAGAACCAGGGAATAACAAAGGAATCTTGAACACATCAACAATTAGAGAAAGAAGATCCACCTATAATTACAGAATAACAAGAGGAAATCACAACATCTCTGAATGACGAACAACTCTGGAAAAGATTAAGAGAAATACCAAAGAAAGATTATTCTGAGAACCTAGCAATACCACAATCACAATAAACAAAATTAGAACCTATCCCAAGAAGAGTATCAAAGAAAAACTCCAGTAAGAAGAACGTCGAAATTGCTGATTTCAGGAACAAGAAGGATTCCGATTAGAAAGAGAAATATATTAGTGATTTAAAAAAAACCAGATAATAATAAATATAATAACCTTATCTTCTTCAGATTTTGAGATTTCTTCTACATACTATAACCTTGTCAAAGACAACATTGAAATCGTTCTAATAGTATAACAAATATTCTCACGATTTCAAGAAAAAAAGAAACAATTACGATTAGAATAAGAATATGGAAAACAACTTGAAGAGCAATAGAGATAACAAAGACAGAAACAATAGAAATTATCTCCATTAGACTTTACACTCAATACTACACCAATTACACATCGTTAGAACAAAATTGTCCTCTCCAAGATTATATATCGCTACAACCATCACAAACACCAAAATCTAATGTTGTATGAACTCGACCTATTGCATCAGGAAATTTTTCGGGACATAAATTTCCGAAACACAAACGGGACCTACAGAAATTTATACCTAAAAATTCAATTTTTTTTGACTTTGGTTGTAATTTACGAGACAGGAAGCGATTTTCTACTAAGGTATTTCTATGACAGATCGAAAGCTCTGGTTCTTGCTACAAGATGATATATAAATTATTCCTGTAGCATCAATATCCGCGGAGATATTCACGTTTAAATTTTGAACGTCCGTGAAAAATTTGATATAAATTTTCCGTAAATTTTCGTAATTCTGCTGGAAATTTTCATTACGTTACGATAAATTTCCAGCAGAATTATGAAAATTTATGCGGATATCGATGCTACAAGAATAATTTACATATCATCTTGTAACCAAGAACCAGGGCTTTCAATCTGTCATAGAAATACCTTAGTAGAAAATCACTTCCTGTCTCGTAAATTGTGACCAAAGTCAAAAAAATTAAATTTTTGAGTGTAAATTTCCGTGGGTCCCGTTTGTGTTATGGAAATTTATGTCCCAAAAAATTTCCTGATGTGATAATCCTATTCCACAAGAAATAGAAGAATATATTGTTGTTTAACTAACAAATTATTTCTGCCCATTGTTGAAAATAATAATGATATTAATAAATTATTAAATGATCATAATTTAATTAATAACATTGTACAAAATCGACCAATCGAAATTAACATATTTCAAGGAATTATTTTTACCTCTAATGTTTAAAAAAAAAGTCTGTGATAATTTGTATCTGGTGAAACAATGGTACACCAAAGTTTCACCAATATCACCAATTTTATCAATATCACCAGTTCCACTAGTTTTATCAATTTCATCAAATCACCAGTTTTCCCAATGAGAATTGATAATTGGTGAATGGTGAGATTTGGTGCAACTCAAGGATTTAGTTTCACCTACATCCCTACTATCAACCCTATAATCATCTTGACTGTAACCATTCTGCATAAAATTTTATTCGCAATTGAAATTTTATTAAAAGACAATTTACCATATAGATCACCTGTTTATGTAAAATTAAAATTAATAATTTGATATCAAAAACATCTCAAAAAAAATCTCCAAAACTTAAAGATTAAAATAAGTTTAGTAACTATTATTCTAAAATTGATCGTTCAGGTTGTATAATTTTTTAAAGACAAAAAAACAGGTGTTACAATACTTTTGTAAGCCACTGTAAATTAATAGATCTTATAATATAATAAATTAAAGGAATATAAATATAGGCTCTCTTGATCTTAAGAATAATACAAATTTCATTAATTAAAAATTTATAAATACCACATCTATCAAATACTTAATAGATATAAGAGTAAAGTATATAGTTATACACTTATCAGATATTCAATAGATATATCAGATACCTGATAAGTGTAGTAAAATATTTTTTACACCTATTGAATATCTGATATACCTATCAGATACTCAATAAGTATATGAACATGTACATTACTCTTATACCTATTAAGTATTTATCAAGTGTAGTATTTATAATTTCTGATCAATATTTTAAGTAATCAATATAATAATATTTCATTTATACCTAACTTTATAATTCTTTAATATTTAATCTCTATTTCTTATATCTTATATTTTATATTTATCTTTTATTTATTTTTTAATATAAGTCAAATACAAAAAGATATATTGTACCAAAAAGAAATTTCAATTTTAGCTAATTTGTAATATAGGATGTAATAAGATAATTGATTTTTTTTTAATTTTTAGCTGATCTATAATATAGGAATTATTATTTGATACAGTAATTCTTTTTATTTGACTAGTATAATAAAGTTATATCTTATTCAATTTTAATATCAATCTGTTAATTTATTAACTTGTTCTTTATAATAAACTATTTGAACTCTTATGTCTTCTTTAGTATATATATCTTATCAAAAGGACAAGTTAATTTGATATACTAAATTTTTTTACAATAAAAAACTTATTTGTAATATTCTCTTAAAAGTTTTCAATAAATAATTTATTTGAAAATATTTATTATCCTTCAAATCTTTATCCATAAATAGATGTGATAATATAAAAAAATTTTGATTATTGAATTAAATTTTATTTAAAATTTTTTAAGTTTCTATTATAAAGATTTACATTATATCTTTATTTATAAATATATTTGATAAAAAATACTAAGTAATTATTATATAAATTTTATTATATAATATTTATAAATATTAAAAAAAAAATAGATTTTTTTTATAAATAAATTCACTTTAAATTTAATAATAATTTGATTATTTAATCAAATTTTATTTAGAATTTTATAAGTTTTTATTATAGAAATTCTATATTACACTAGTTAAATACAAAAGAATTACTATATCAAATGATAATTCCTATACTATAGATTAGCTAAAAATTAGTAACAACTAACTGTCCTATTGTATATTATATTATAATTAACTAAAACCCTATAAGAAATATACATATTTAAAAAATACTTAAAATATAATTAAAATATTATTGAAATATTATTAAAATATATTTA